TCTTATTTTTTGCTAATCTAGTTGTATCAATAGAATCTTTGCCAAGCCTATTCAATTTTTTGTGGTCCTGTACTTGTTTGTTAGAAGATGATTTCGGACGACCTGTTTCAAGATATCCAATCTCAACTTCTATACTATTTACATTAGCAACAATCAAATAATCAGAACGCCTCGCCTGTTGGTTTGATCCTTTTCTCTCTGTACTAGCCAAACTCGCTTTTTCTCCCCTTTTACATTTAAAAATATTAGTATTTTGAATACTATATAAAAACATATATATATTAAAAAAAAACTATATATATACCATACTCCCTATATATTAGAATCCACTGGCAAGTCACTCATTATAATATTCATTAATAGTGACAAAACTTCTGATACATACGACCCCTCATTTATGGAAGACAATTTGTCACCCGTATTTGCCTTCCATTTAGGTGAACTCCAGACCCGACTTAGCACTACTAACATTTGAGTTGTTAGTTTTTGTAATCGCTCAGGTTTATCTAGAAACTCACCAAACACTGCATCTCCGCATTTTTGAGAAGGTTTATTGTGCTTCTCTTGTTCTTTTGTAATAAAATCTTTACAAATACCCTTTAATATAGTATTTGTAGATAATTTAAATTTTTTACTCAGCTTTTTAAAGATCTTTACAAATTCTTCCGCCATGCTCTCAAACGGCTTCAAACTATCATCTAAGATTCCCGAGCATAATGGGTAGTCGTATCCCAACTTCTCTACTTCTATTGTAAGCAACTGTTCTTCTACATTTTTCCACAGATTATTTATGTCTCCTGATGTTTCTGATATCAACTAATTATATATTTATTAGATAATTTACAAATTGTTTCTTAAACAAATTAATATTTTATAAAAATAAAAAAACCTGCTTCACAATGTCTTTTAGATTTTCGAAGTTTTTTTTCGCATCGACCACCCAAGGCATTTCTACATTCTATAAATATATCTCTCTCTATTTTACTGTAGAACGTGATTAGATTTTAAAACCTAACTGAATAAATATACCAAAACATTCATTCTTAATGAAGAACAAACGTATTCATATGCATCTGATACCTAAATAACCAAACAAATAATTATTAAAAAAATAAAGATAATTATGCAGTAATATCTATGTACATGCGATCAAATTGGTTTTTTTTGTTAATATAAATTTCAAATTAGCCGGCTAGAATAAAATATACCTCTGATGAATTTGCATATAGCATTTTATGCATATAAATAGCTACTCTCAACGCCCCCTCGAGATAAATCGAGAAACCGAAGTCCATTCATTATTCATATACTACCTTATACGTTATTCACATCGGTAATAAGGAGTAATAGAAATTTTGATCCATCCCTATCTCTCAATTTACTATAAATTTATTATATATATATATATATATATATTCTACAACTCCTTCAAAAAAACCAACTTTTCATCATATCGAGTAAATTTTTCGAAGCTAATCACAACTATAATAACTTACACGTTGTTTCAAAAGACCACCTTCCCTAAACTTATTAAGTTGTTCTAACCTCTTGCTATCTTTAACGTTTTCTAAATGGTTTATCACTCTATCAAGTGTTTCCTTAAAATTTCTTAATTCTTTTTCTTTGTCGCCTGTCCATTCTCCTGTTTCAATCCGCTTACATAAAGTGGTGAAAATCGTGATATCAGAAATAGAAGTATAAGAAGTAAGAAAAGATTCCATTTTGAAGTCAAGAAATAAAAAAAAATGGTAAGTATTAGTTGCTAGCTGAATAATGATCAAAGAAAAAGCAACGAATAACTCAACTCTTCAAATAGTCTTTATTCGTTTTGCAGTTTTTTGAAACAGGAGTATTTGTACATATAATTAATGAC